ATTGATTTACTGGTCGAGGTTCATTATTTGCTGACAACGAAAACTTCTCCAGGCCATGACCATGTTTCTGCCCTTGCCCGATCGCCTCCAGCTCCAGCAGAAATGGCGCGGCAGCGTGCACACGACCGCTACTAACGGCGCAGTAGGCCTATAACCACTGCTGACGGCGGCACTGCACTGCGAGCTGAATCGATAATAATAGGCCTACTCATAAAACGAGAAATCTTGCACGCTAATCTTAGTTCCATTTCATTGGTTTAAGGTTTGAAAATTGAAACTCAATATTATGATAAAGTTATAACAGAAAAGATTATCTTTATTTTATAATTCCACCGGGGCGATTTTTAATTTTGCAATCGCCCCCGTGAGCAACCTGACGGGGGCGATTTTGTAGCTCACGGGGGCGAATCGCTCACCGCCCCCTGTATTTTGAGCGCTGACTTCTAGCATTCTAATTCATTTGTAGCATTCAAATTAGCACTTCGTGCACTTAAATTGATGGTCAATATACATTTCTCGTTTATTACACACTTTTTATAGCTCATTCTTTTTCTTTCAAGATTGTTTTTTCTTGTGTATTTCATCATATTTCATTTTCTTGCATTTATACACTCATACTTATTAGATTTATCTGATTGTTAAGAAGAAAAAAAAACGACTTGCATCTACGGACCTGATGGTCTCAGTATATTTGTAAATGTTCATGTAAGGAAGTTGGTTGTCTTATGTTTCATCATAAATTTATCATAATTTCATCATAATTTCATTATGGAAGAAGGGTACAATATTGTGACTGGGGTAGGGACTAACGTCAACAATTTGAACATGATTCATTATTTAGCCATGTCTTTAGCCATCGATCTGCTGGCGGGCAAGTAAACTATGAAACTTTTTAAGAAAAACAGAGGGATGTGCTGGGTTTAAGAGACGATGTGAATTACTTTTGTAAAATTCCGAGTCTGTAGTAAAAAGGGGCGATTGAGGGTACCCCCACCTTTCCCGGGTATATGAACATGTCCGTGCAGAAATGCCATATTCCTTGATTTCGCCCCTTCTTTACTTTATGTCTGACTAAACCCATCTGCATTGTCCTTAAAATAAATAAATGGAATAACAGCTTAGACCCCAATGGTAAATCATGCATTTTAACTGCATTATTTAAAAACTGTAAAAGTTTGTTGCAATTCTTCCCCCTAACATTCCTAACTTGAATAAAAATATTATGAATACGAATGACACTATTGAATGATTAAAATTACGCTTCGACAAGTGAATATTAATTTGAATGCTAGTTGAGCAGTTTATAAATTGAATGACAGATCTAGGAAACCCTTCGACCAAAATCCTAAATTAAATACAAAAACTGGAAAATTGAATGATAATTGGCATGGCAAAGCCGATCTGCGCTAACTTAAATGCAAAGTAAATGAATTCGAATGACAAACTAGCGTATTTGGCCGGGAATTCCTATATAATCAAATCATATGTACACAAAAGACCACCTTGTAATATTATTATAGGACTATCTCGTATAATATATATTTATATTCGATAGATGCACACCATGTGTGAATTGGTTCAAATTAAAGTCCAACTTCATTTAGTAACGGGTTTATGGACAGCTAATATTGAACATTTTAAATTTTACGAGCAATTTCAGCAAAGGATAGGGAGTACATACAATGTGAGCAATACATGGACTTACTACGTGCAATTACAGTGTACTATGATCATTTTCAATGTCAATGATGCATGGTGATGGTGATGATAAGAGTAATGATAATGATAATAGTATATAATAATAATAATAATCATCATCTTGGACTGATGATATAAAGAAAGTGTCCGGACAAGGAATGAAAGGTGCAACACAAATGGCAGGTGAAAGAGTTGCATGGCGTGCTCTTGTGAAGGCCACAGCAGCGCTTTACAGCGCCACCTGAAGTTGATGATGATGATAATAATAATAACAGTAATAGTAACAGTAATAATACTAATATATTATTTAGTTGCAACGACCGCAAAACCAACAAAGACCAGGCGCGGATCCAGGGGGGGGGGGCCGAGCGGGCCTTGGCCCCCCCCCCGCAAAAAAAAAAAAAAAAAAAAAAAAAAAAGAGAAGAAGGGAAAAGAAGGGAAAGGGAAAAAGGAGAAAAAGGGAAAGAAAGAAGAGGAAGAAGAAAAGAAAAGGGGTAAGAAGGAGATCGGGGGCCGAAAGGGCCTTGCCTCCCAGGCTGTTAACCCCCCCCCCCCCCCCCCCCCAATCAAAAAAAATAAGAGAGAAGGAAGGAAAGATAAAGAAAAAAAGGAAAAGAGGAGATACTGGCGTACTGAAAGAAGGGGGGGGGGCTTGGGGGAAATCAAATTCAAACGTGGTTTATTTCTAATTCCACAACGGTTGATAACAAATAATGCTGAAATGACACAATTTACGAAATTTTTCCTCACTTTTTAGTAAATTATACGTTTGTATGTGTTTGTTGGAAAATGACAAATTCCTAAATTTACACCCAAGCAAAAAATATGATTCTTGAGATTCCTACATGTCAGGGCCCGAGGTACGGCGGGGATCGAGAGCCTCGAACCCCCCCCCCCCCCCACTTTTCTTGAAAAAGTATATTAAAGAGAAATAAAATAGAATGAGAGCAAGAAAGTAAGAATAGTTAACTGCCAGTGTTAACAAAATAATGAGGCATCAAAATATGCTCATCTGACCGTGATTAAATGCCTAGAACCCCTAAGCTTCCGGGGGCTTTGCCCCCTGGATTCCATCTAGGGCCCTACGGCGGGTCCTTAGATGATCATCTGACGGTAATTTCTTATTCTCTTATCTGATAGTAATGTATTGCCTTAAACCCCTGAGCTTGCGGGGTCGGACAAGGTATCAAGATGTGTTTATCTGACCGCAGGCGCGTAGCCGGGGGGGGGGGCGGTCCCCCCCCCCCCCCAATCGGAAGAGGACGTACAGTGTAGGAAGAAAAAGGAGCAAAGAACATCTTTGAAATTCAGACATGGATTAAGAGTATAGAGAACGGTACAACGCATCGTTTTCTTTTTCTAATAATAAAACGTCAGAGCCTCGCGCATGAGGGGAGGGGTACTGAATTCAGACGAGGATTCAGAGTCGAGAACTCTACAACGAATGCTCTTCTTTCTCTAATAATTTAATAAATCGTAAAATTTTCCGAGCTTTGCGCAGGAGGGGGAGGAGGGGGAAGGGGGGGGGGGACAGAATTTAGACAAGGATTAAGAGTCGACAACGAGTCGTCTTCTTTTTCTAATGATTTAATGAAACGTAGAAGCTTCCGCGCTTCGCGCAGGAGAGGGAGGGGGGGGGGACTGATTTTAGACAAGGATTATTTTCGAGAACGGTGCAGCGAATCTTCTTCTTCTCTAATGATTAAACGAAGATTAAAAGCTTCCGTGCTTCGCGCAGGAGGGGGGGAGGGAACTGAATTCAGACGAGGATTAAGAGTCGAGAACGGTACAATGAATCGTCTTCTTTCTTTAATAGTTTAATAAAACGTCAAAGCTTCCGCGCTTCGCGCAGGAGGGGAGTGGGGAGACTGAATTTAGACAAGGATTAAGAGTCGAGAACTGTCAACGAATCATTTTCTTTCTCTAATGATTTAATGAAACGTAAAAGCTTCCGCGCTTCGTGCAGGAGGGGGAGGGGGAACTGAATTCAGACGGGGATTAAGAGTCGAGAACGGTACAACGAATCGTCTTCTTTCTTTAATAGTTTAATAAAACGTCAAAGCTTCCGCGCTTCGCGCAGGAGGGGAGGGGGGAGACTGAATTTAGACAAGGATTAAGAGTCGAGAACTGTCAACGAATCATTTTCTTTCTCTAATGATTTAATGAAACGTAAAAGGTTCCGCGCTTCGTGCGGGAGGGGGAGGGGGAGGGGGAACTGAATTCAGACGGGGATTATTTTCGAGAACTTTACAACAAATCGTCTTCTTTCTCTAATAGTATAATAAAACGTCAAAGCTTCCGCGCTTCGCGCCGGAGGGGGGGGGGGGGGAATGAATTTGGACAAGGATTAAGAGTCGAGAACTGTACAACGAATTGTCTTCTTTATCTAATAATTGAACAAATCGTAAAAGCTTCCGCGCTTCGCGCGAGAGGGGGGGGGGAACCTGAATTCAGACGAGGATTAAGAGTCGAGAACTGTACAACGAATCGTCTTCTTTCTCTAATGATTTAATGAAACGTAGAAGCTTCCGCGCTTCGCGCAGGAGAGGGAGGGGGGGGACTGATTTTAGACAAGGATTATTTTCGAGAACGGTGCAGCGAATCTTCTTCTTCTCTAATGATTAAATGAAGATTAAAAGCTTCCGCGCTTCGCGCGGGAGGGGGGAACCTGAATTCAGACGAGGATTAAGAGTCGAGAACTGTACAACGAATCGTCTTCTTTCTCTAATGATTTAATGAAACGTAGAAGCTTCCGCGCTTCGCGCAGGAGGGGGAGAGGGGGTGACTGATTTTAGACAATGATTAAGTGTCGTGTACTGTACAAATAATTGTCTTCTTTATCTAATAATTTAATGAATCGTAAAAGCTTCCGCGCTTCGCGCGGGAGGGGGGGAACCTGAATTCAGACGAGGATTAAGAGTAGAGCACTTTACAACGAATCGTCTTCTTTCTCTAATAATTTAATAAATCGTAAAATTTTCGGCGCTTCGCGCGGATGGGGTAAAAACTAAATTCAGACGAGAATTATTTTCGAGAACGGTACAACGAATCGTCTTCTTTCTCTAATAATATAATGAAACGTCAAAGCTTGGGAGGGGGAAATCGCCCCACCCCGCATTACGTCACTGTTGGTCACCATTACGTACCAATATTTGGCTCGCATAATTTCAAATTTGGGCCCCCCCCCCAAGAAATCCTGGATCCGCGCCTGACAAAGACCTTAATAATACTCGAGCAATACTATAAACAGTTATATTTTTTGTTTATTGCATTGTTCATTTTACCATAGATAAGCATCAAGCAAGCCGCAATATGAATGTGAATGACAACGAGAAGGATACCAAGGTAGAGAAAGAAACCCCACCAGACGTGTTGAAATGGGCGAGTGAACGACTACGGGCAATCCTCGGAGCAAGCAATACTGACGCACTCGAAGTTATGTACGATGATGTTGCTGAGCGATATGATGAGGTACGTGGCGTAGCCACTAGGGTCAAGGGGCACATTTGCCCCTGATCGAATAGATACCAAAAAATAGAGATTGAAGAAGAGGGGGAAATAAACGTGAAAAGAAGATAAAATGACCCCCAACACCCCCTAATTCCATGGCCTTTCTCTCTCATTTCCACCTCTAACATGACATGTGCACCCCCCCTCTCATGACAACAAGACGAATGCCCCCCCCCCCCATAAGCTTAACATATGGTATGCCACTGTGGAAAAGGGTGTATGTATTAACATCTAAAACGATACTCGTTTCTTCTTCCAATTACCTTCTCAACAAAAATCACTGTGAGTCTTAAAGAGGTTGACATAAATTGTGTGGAAACTGGAAAGATTGAAATATTTCAGACTATGAGAAAATTACGGTTTGAATGTTGACAATGATTTTGTTGACAACGTATCAATTGCTAACAATTAACATGAAATGGCGTATGGAAACAGAAAGGAAAAACACATGGGTTCGAGTGATGTAAAAGTTCTGCACTGTGTATATGTTTTAGGACTCCGAACCAAACTTCATGAGTGATGGCACAAAATACATAATTTGGCTATGATGGGTGAAATTACAATTGCAATGATTATAACACAATGAGCATGGTTTACGCGATCGATATTCTAAAAATCAATGATCGTGACAATGAGCCAGTTCGTAGATATAACTGCGCATTGGCAGATAAAGGTCATTTGTACCAAAGGTGTAAAAACCCATCGAGACGAATACTGGATCCGTGCTCGTGATTCACCGACGACACGCTCTATGATACACAGATGGAAGTATTTTTCTCGAGAAAGCAAATGAAAGGCATTTAACGTTTCATGAAGCGCCTCCATGACTTTGGCAGTGATTATTCTGAAATGCACAAGCGGACGTCTCAACAAGATGTGTGAATAGGGAGGGGGAGAGGTCATTTGTACCAAAGCTAACTACTCTATTCGGTTGACATAAACATACTTATTTTCTCTGAGCTTAACATTAGAATGAAATGATACTAAAGTTTTTAAACTCTCACTGGAAACTAATGTACCACTTAATTCTTGTCTTTGTATTCCCGTATCTAAATGACCAATAATGAAATTTAGTTGACTGCCGCAATGAAGTACAATGGAGATGTGTTGACTGTTGACGCCCTCACCCGGTTGGTACCGAATCGAGATGTGAGAATACTAGACGTAGGCTGCGGCACTGGGCTTGTTGGCCAACAGGTTAGTTTCCAACCCCCCCCCCCCCCCCACACCACTGGCGTAACTACAAGGGGGATTGAGTGCCTCGATCCATGCCTACAAATCGAGTGGTGAAGTTTAATTAAAAAGGAAGAAAAAGCGTGAAAATAGAGAAAGGGAAAGGGAAAGAGGGAAAAGGACTTGGACCCCTCCCGCAACCTTCCCCTTTTATCAGTGGCCTTGTTAACTCAAATTTACTCGTGTTTATTTATTAAGATCGGTGCCGACCCCCCCCCCCCCTTCTAATTCCAGTTCTCTCTTAATGGGTAGATTTCTACGCCACTTCACCACATTGTTTGGTTTGACTGCCATTCGATATTGGAATATTTAAAACATTTGAGAAGAAAATAAATATATTTGTATTTTAACATATGAATATTCAAGCATGTATAATGTGAATCGTAGTATTAATAAACTATAGTAAAATAACAATTTCGGAGTGTATTGCAAGTTTCCTTGTAGGAGGCAAAGCCAAATCTGTTCTGCATCATAATCATGGAAGTGACGTCAGAGCAGTCTTGTGATTATTTATGATTTGAAGCCGAGTTGGCCTTCACTCCGACCAAAATGTTTGCAATTTCACACTAATTCGATTTTTAGTACATACATTTTACAAAATATGAACATTTATTCAAGTAATATGGAATCATATAAGCCTGACCCATAGTAATGAATGACACGAAGGAATGTTATGTAAATCATTAAATACATAGAACTATACTAAAACTAATCTAGATCTGATAATAGCGGAATTATTTAATGAATCATTATAACATTTGAAATGACATGATGCAAAATTACTGCTGTACGTGGCATGTATACACAGGGTTACATTCTTTCATGTAGGTATGGTTAAGACAATTCTCTCTATCTTGTTATGGTTACGAATGCAAAATATTAATGTATATCAAATATTAGACAGAAAATGGGCTCTTAAAATAATTAAATTTGTTTGTCTCTCTCTCTCTCTGTCTCTCTCTCCCTCCCTCTTCTACCACCGTTGTAGCTCTACGACAAAGGATACCGTGATATACATGGAGTAGACATGTCAGCTGGATTATTAAAGGTTCTTGAAAAGAAACAGATTTACTCGAAGCTAGTGAAGGCTAGATTTGATCCTAGCACACCTCTCCAATATGCCGATGGTAAGCATTCGATGTAGTATTAATTTGTATTTTTGTTAGACTTCACATTGAATTTTTTTATTGGCACCCTAAATTGAGCTTCTAAATGGTTTGAATTGTTGTTTTCTTACTTCAAAGCACGCAATAGTTTTGATTTAAAGAAATACTTTTGAATGAATCAAAAGGCTTGTTTATTGATATTACTATACAATAATGTGAAAATGGACATTTCATTTATAGTTTCGATAATAATAATAATAACAGCTACATTTATATTGCGAAAATATCCATCCCAGGGGATGCTCTAGGCGTCTACAAAGTAGCATTATAACCCCTGGTTTTAGCCCAGCTGCCCTATTAGGAAGGCCCGATACCTTGTGCTTAGCATAGGTCATAATGTGTAAAGGAGAGTAGTTGTGAATTGTATTGAAGATGATTTTTAGCAAGTTGTGAGTTTGTTTTTATTTTACTGGTTCAAACAATCAATCAACTGCAGGATAAACACTCCAAAATGAATTATAGCGCCATGTTTTCTCGACATACGATTCCTATATACCAGAACTGAAGATTAGCTTTAAGGTGATTTCTTCTTATTTTTCTTCTTCTTCTTCTTCTTCTTCTTCTTCTTCTTCTTTTTCATCTTCTTCTTCTTGTTCTTCTTTTTCTTCTTCTTCTTCTTCTTTTTCTTCTTCTTTTTCATCTTCTTTTTCATCTTCTTCTTCTTCTTCTTCTTCTTCTTCTTCTACTTCTTCTTCTTCTACTTCTTCTTCTTCTTCTTCTTCTTCTTCTTCTTCTTCTTCTTCTTCTACTTCTTCTTCTACTTCTTCTTCTTCTTCTTCTTCTTCTTCTTCTTCTTCTTCTTCTTCTTCTCCTCCTCCTCCTCCTCCTTCTCCTCCTCCTCCTCCTCCTCCTCACCCCTATTCTAACTCGGTATGACATAGGCCTACCCTTTGTTATTTCCAGGTTATTTTGACGTGATAATAAGCTCTGGTGTTTTCATACCATCTCATCTCACCCACACCTGTCTTCCAGAGATTATTCGTCTTCTCAAACCTGGTAAAAGACATCTTCGAATCAACATCATTCGACAATCGACATTAAACCATTAAAAGTATATCTTACGTATATGTTAAGTGCTATAGTTCAAAATAATGCGTGCTTCACTTATATGGAATCATAATTAACATATATCTAATTTGCCTTTCCAAAAGAACATGTACAAATAGCAACTCAAGATTGACGATCTCAAGTTACAACAGTTACATGAAACCACCGTTAAGTCTCTTCCCAGACTGTATTTCATTAACATGATCAATGAGGCCATTAAAATTATACCAACATTGCATTACAATGCCTAATTGAAGTGACAGGTTGTTTTATGTTGATGTATATTTCTCCTCCCCCCCCCCCTTACTCATCAGACGAATAAAAGAGATTTAAAACATGAATCCCATGAACTGTAACAGTTTCAACCTTTAATGGTCTGACACCGATCCATAAATATGTTGATGCTATGTAAATGACTATTATCAGATGAGTATTAGTTTATTTCCATTGGCGTAATATGTAACGTATACGTATACAAAACATTGGCATATTTGCATAGCCTCTCTCAAACGAAGCAAAATTATTTTGTCGTTGATTTTTGCTACGCATCAGTTTATATAATATCCCAATAATGATACTCACTGTTGAATCACTCTTTTCTCAGGAGGACTTAGCCTCATCACCACGAGGAAAAACGTCTTTGATGAGGAGATGGCAGGCATAAAGCTGAAATCATCCTTTGCCAGCCTGACCAAAGATGGAGTACTCGAGAAGATATCACACGAGGAGATCGATTATTTGACTGATGAGAACGATGGAGTTACACCAGGCTTGATATTATCGTATAAGGTCCTACAGCAATGAGTGAATGCTCCCCAGGGAGTGGAGATTGTGCACACAGTGTGTGCGGGCAAGCACTGAATCCAATGACCGGGGTAATAGTATATAGCAACGTCGATCTGGCGCTGCTTAGTGGCTGCCGGGCTCACGATCAATTGGGCAAAAAGAATTTCCGTTCCGGTTTAATAAAATTTGGAGTTGACTATTAGGCTATTATTATTATTATTATTATTATTATTATTATTATTATCATTATTATTATTATTATTATTATTATTATTATTATATTTGTAAAGCGTTTAGAGACATTTGTAATAAGCGCTATATAAAAATTAAATATTATTATTATCATTATTTTTATGCATGGGCGTCTTTATATTATCTTGAAGGAGGGTGGGGGAGATTTTGGCCCAAATTCATCGATAAGTCAGCTGACAATTTCATTTTTTCCTCTTCAATAAGTGGTATTTTCAAATTTGCCGACAGTAATGTTGTGTCATAACGGTCGTCATTGATTTCAAATTTGCCGTCTGTATCCTAAGGTTTCCAACGGGCGTAAAAGGGTAATATACTCCGTTTCCGACAGAAAATTATTAACCGAGGACATAGGTCTTCCGCATCAACCTACGAGAAGGAAAGACAGCAAGTCACTCCCATCAAGACCCATCATAGTGAAATTCACCTCTTATCGCGCCCGCAATCTCATGATCAGGAATCGCAAACTGCTGAAAGGAAAAAGAAAGGGGGTTGAGGAGGACCTGACAGCAGCAAAAAGACTTCTGTTGAAGGAAGCGAAAAAGGAGGTTGAACAGAACAATAGGCTGAATGCCGCATGGTCATCAGATGGAAGGATAATTGTATTGACCAAAGCTACCAATGGGAAGACGACAAGAAAGATAATACATTCCGTGAGTGAACTGGCAAACTTGTGAAAACTGATATACATTAAACTGACTACATGCAAATATGATATTTTTCATATTCTTGCCTATGCCCTTTGATTAATTACAGATCTTTTTGTAATTATCTTCGTTATTTTTACTGTATTTATGTTTTATTAACTACTTATTGAAAGTTAATTTGTGAATTTAGGGACCCCACTGGAAATAAGCTCTCGAGCTTTCGTGGGTTATTCTGTTCAAGCTGACTTTTTTTTTTTTTTTTGATCTGATATTATTGTATATTGTTGTATGTTGGAAGCTTGTCGAATAAAAATCAATCAATCAATCAATCAATGAGTGTATGTGTTCATTGTGGTATCTCTTCTTCCTTCTTTCCAACTCAGTCATGGTTATGCACTCAATGTACTTCTAATATTTTTCCATTCAACCATATAGATGATGATAATGAATTTTATTGGACTATGTACGACTTTTTCCATTTAAATAGGAGAATTGATATTGACAAGTTATTACAATTGAAATTAAACCCATTTTGTATGAATAAATATGATGTGCATAGCCTTTTTGATTTAGATCTTGAACTTAAAAATTCATGTCAATACACATTTTGTGAAGAATTTAGTCTAAAATTTAGTAAATTGAATTCTATACTGTCACTTCTCCATTTGAATGCTAGAAGCCTAAAGAAACATTTTGATGAATTACAGATTGTTCTGTCATCTCTTCAATTTGAATTTGATGTCATTGCCATAACTGAAACTTGGTTCAATTCTTCTACAAATATTAATATGTATAACCTAGACGGATATTTTCTTGTTTCTAAGTGTAGACCCCCAAAATCTGGTGGCGGAGTTGCACTTTATTTGAAAAATAATCTCAATTACAAATTACTACCCGAATTTATTTATTCTGAATGCAATTATGAAACTATATTTGTTGAAATAAGTAAGAAACCTAAACCTATAGTTGTTGGTTGCTAATTATTAAAAAATTATCTATGTACAGTAAATTATTATACATCTAATGAAAGAGTGTTCTATCCCAAATCATTATCCCAAATCATTTGGTATCATTTTTGTGTGGTATGTGTTTACGCTTGGATGAACAGGAGGTATTGTTTGCGAGAGTGCAAAAGTCGACTTGCGCCAAAGTTGCTTATGTGATGTTTGGATAAAGAAATTGGCATTGGGTATTAATTCGGTCTTTGCAGATCCAAATAACATCCCTAACAAAATTAATCCTGCTACACATATCAAAAATCGAATATCAAATATCAACAAACATTTGTGTGAGTGTGTGTGTGTGTGTGTGTGACTTTGCTTCTGCAAAAAGCATAATGCAATGCATTTCATTTGATGCATTCAATTCATTCGTTCACTCCGCTAATCCCAACAAAATACATGCTGTAGGCATCACTTAATTGGCGCAAGTCGATTTTTGCACTCTCGCAAACAATGCCTCATGTTCATTCAATCGTGAACACATACCGCACAAAATGATACCAAATGATTCGGGATAAAACACTCTTTCATAAGATGTATAATAATTTACTGTTCATAGATGATTTTTAAAATAATTAGCAATTTTCTAGGTGTAAACTTTTTTTTGACTCACTCGGTATGTCTATGTTTTAACTTACAATGAATTAATTAAAATGACAAGTATTGAATGAATGCTTAACAACAATATTAAATAGCTTGCTCTGCTGAGAATATAACGTTTAATATATTAAATGAATTTCTTAAGCCGGAGCAACGTATTTATCTTGGCGGTACTCAAATGAGTGAAGTCCCCAAATGCGTGTGGGGTCAATAGGGACTTTTAGATTTGCACATCGACATAGTGGACTGCAACGTGTGACGTCCTTTTAAGGCACTGTGATGTCCTTTTAAGGCATTGCCAGTGCCTTAAAATGACGTCACACGTAGCAGTGTTCATCAGTGAAGGTTTTCAAAGAGTGGAACAAGTTTCACATTTATATGGAAATGTCTATGTACATACAATGTAGTGTCCCGCACGTTACCAAATTGTCCCACGCGTTACCACAGGTAATAAATACATTTTGTTTATTAGATAAATCTGGTCCAACCTGTTTGTTATGGAATTGGCATGTCCCAAGGTAACTCAGAACCATTTTAAGTTTCACTCAAATTCAATGTCGCATTTGTAAGTAATTCAAACATATTATCTTAAAAAATAACGCGTAGGACATGCACATTATTTTTGGAACATCCATTATTTGAATATTCAATTAGTTGACGAACTGAAATTCCTAATGTGAATGACCTACCCCCTATGCTATAGGTCCCTGCACTTTGTTGATAATATCTATTAAAAACTATTGAAATACATTATAATGGATGATGTATTTTGTAATGTCCCACGCGTTACCATTACTCATCGATTATGCAAATTTAGTCATTGCATTTACACATTTTCAAATTCACTGACTTTCCCTGACTTTCCAGAGCAGAACAATGTAGATTTCCATGACTCATTGGTGACGTGAGATGCTGATTTACAAAGTTATTAAATTAATCTGAGTGCCATGCACGCAGGGCAAGTCCAATCGCGAATTGACTAACCATAAAGAATTGTGTTGAATAAATGATTTTCCATGAATTTCCAGAAGAAATTGACAAATTCCCTGACTTTCAAGAAATTCCCTAACCCGTCTAAACCCTGTGATTACTTACAACATAGTAGAGATTTCAATTTTCTTTTATTGATTCTAGAAATTTCAATATTTTATCTTTCAAATGCTACCAAACTCAACTCTTATGCACAAAGTTTAAAACTAGTCATCCATTCATCCTGGAAACAAATAGCTTAAAATTGCCCACATATCTAACTCTCTGCCAACTGAGTTAATTTGTCAATTGTTCCTTTGATATTTTCTTTAAACTCTGCTTTTATTAGAGCATTATTGATGCTAGTCATTATTCTATAAATCTTATATATCAAGACGATATGTATAAGAAATATGTAAAGGAATTAACTCTTCAGAGAAATTTGGAAGAAGGCAGACTGGCAGAGTAATTAAACAGGGGATGCCAGTTAGAATTGATCGGAGGGCTTACTGAATTGAATTGAATTGAATTGAATTTTTTTGTCCCTTTCAGGAATTTTTTTTTTTCACTGGTTTTACAGTCATTGTACATTATACATAATACAAGAAGAAATACATAATACAATAATATCAAATGTACATCGTTACAAACATAGTTACATTCTGAAAATGATTGTTGCATTGGAAACGGAACAAAAATACATTGATTGCAGTATAAACATAAACATGGCATTCCAGGTGAAAATTCGAACATTAAGGTTACTGTTTATTTGAAAATGTAGGTAAGTTTAGTATTACGAGCCCTTAACAAATTAAATTCAGAACAAATGATAAGTTGAGACCAGTATTTACGTTTGAGTTCCAGACCTCCGGGCTTGTGCATTGACAATATGAATATGACGGACAATGAAAGCGGACAAAATATACAGTTCCTTAGGTAGACAAAGGAACATCCCTTCACTGCTATTATGTAAAAATGTGTAGAACAGGTGTCACATGCACATAGCAGTCAAGGGATGTTCCTTTGTCTACCTGAGGAACTGTATATTTTGTCCGCTTTCATTGTCTGTCATGTTCATAGTGTGAAGAGGTGAATGGCGTTGGGAACAAAAGATTGCCTGAAGACTGTCATTTGTACGCCATATCGAATAGCACCTCATTTTTGTTTATTGTAAAGAACTTATTGGCATGCACCCAGTAGATTTTTATCATGATTGTGTTTGATCTTGTTATTGAAAACAAGATCAAACATGTCACGTCATCATAATTTACAGGCTGCAACCAACGATTTCTTAACAACAATTGTTTTCTTCTTCAGAGAGCCCAGCAATAAAAGCTGTTTTTATTCAAAGAGCATTGTAGAGACGATGAACAAATAAGGAATAATAATACAACGTCGTTAAGCGTGAATCCGTTCACTTCTATCTCTCCTCGCCAAATAATCCGAACAAAAGAATCAATCGAGGGAATCAATTGTTTAACGAATTTATCACGAGCCCTGGAAAAAGTTATTAATACTGATAGTCGTAGTATTATTGAAGAGCAGCAAAGGCGAACGATTGTCGCTACAATTGAGAAATCATTACCAAAATTACCATGAGATATCAAGCTACATAGAACTACACTGTATGA